TTCTTCTTCTTCTTCTTCTTCTTCTTCTTCTTCTTCTTCTTCTTCTTCTTCTTCTTCTTCTTCTTCTCCTCCTCCTCCTCCTCCTCCTCCTCCTCCTCCTCCTCCTCCTCCTTTTTCTTCTTCCTCTCCTTCTTCCTCATCTTCTTTTTTAAATATTTTAAAAGATTATGTGTATATGTGTGCTGTGTATGTGAGTGTGTGCTTATGTGACTATAGGTGCCCATGAAGGCCAGAGAAGGGCACCGTACCTCCTGGAACTGGAGGTACCAATTCGTAACCCCCCAGGAAGGATGCTGGGAACCAAATTCTAGTCTCCTCCAAAAGAAGACCCGCTCTTTTTTTCAAACATTTTATTTTATTTTTGCTTTATAAATAATACCATTTGAAATTTCCACCTCCTCCCCTCCTCCCATTTCCCTCCCACTGCCCCCCTCCCTCTTCCCCTCCCCGTCCAGTCCTAAGAGAGGGCAGAGTACCCTGCCCTGTGGGAAGTCCAAGGCCCACCCCCCTCCATTCAGGCCTAGGAAGGTATATATCCAAACAGACTAGGATCCCAAAAAGCCAGTACATGCAGTAGAGACAAATCCCAGTGCCATTATCATTGGCTTCTCAGTCAGCCTTCATTGTCAGCCACATTCAGAGAGTCCGGTTTGATCACGTGCTCATTCAGTCCCAGTCCAGCTGGATTTGGTGAGCTCCCCTTATACCAGTCACACCGTCTCAGTGGGTGGACGAACCCCTCGCGGTCCTGACTTCCTTGCTCATCTTCTCCCTCTTTCTGTTCTTCAACTGGACCTTGGGTGCTCAGTCCAGTGCTCCAATGTAGGTCTCTGTCTCTATCTCCATCCATCACTGGGTAGCCATCTCCTCCAGATAGATGCTTTCCTGGCTGGAGAAGAGACTCTCATGGGATTTAGGAGGTTAGGAGTAGGAGCTGCTGCAGTGAGGTGCTCCCATCAACCTAGCTATCTGCAAGTTGTGCAGAGGGCTACAGGCCCACAACTTTGCTGGGTTGTCAGCTGTGCTAGGGTGGGTACTGGGGTGTGTAAGGGGTAGGTGCTGGGGTGGGTGCTGGTCTAGGTGCAGAGGTGGGTGCTGGAGTGAAGGTGGGGGTGTGTAAGGAGTAGGTGCTGGGGTGGGTGCTGGAGTGGAGTGGGGGTGGGTGCTGGGGTGGGTGTTGGGGTATATAAGGGGTAGGTGCTGGAGTGGAGTGGGGGTGGGTGCTCGTGAAGGTGTGGGGTGGGTGCTGGGGTGGGTGTTGGGGTGTGTAAGGGGTGCTACTAAAGAATGAGCAAACTCTACATTTGTGTGAGAGTGTCAAGAGGGACAGAGGAATCCCCTGAAAAAACACCCAAAGGCTAAAGCTAGACAATCCGAGTGATAAACTAAATCACATAGTGATAGACGGGAGTCCAAAATATGAAATAAATACCTGTGGGTTCACAGTGCAGTAAATAAATGATAGATTAAATACTGAAGTAGGTAAAAAATATTCCAAAGCTGATGAGATGATTCAGCAGGCCAAGGTGCTTGCTGCTAAGTCTGATGACCTGGGTTTCATCCCCAGGACCCAAAGGACAAAACCGACTGTGAAAAGTTATCATCTGACCTACACACATGGGCCCTGGCATATTCTCTCATGTATGCGTGTGCATGTGCACACACGTGCCAATAAATAAAACAAAAATTAAAAAAAAAGAATTCCAAATAATGTATGTAAATGCTTCACCCTCCAGGAAGAAACGCACAAATCCCCACTCCTTGAGCAAGAACAGGGTGGTAGAAAAGAAGAAATGCTATTTTACAGTGGAAAAAACCCGACAAATCCTCAACCAAGAGATGAAAGGCAATGACGAGCCCTGTGTTGATACTATGCCCCTTTGATACGACATGACCACTTCACCCCCAGAAACTCAAAGATCCGGTCTAAACATGACCAAAACCACCAGGAAAATTCCAGTAGAGAGACATCCTATAAAATATTAGAGCAGTGCTCCTTAAAATCGCCAAGGTCACCTGAGCAAGGAAATCCTGAGGAACTTGTAGCTAAAAGGAGCCCAAAGGAGCACAACAGCTAAATGTACTTATGTGTGTGTGTGGGGGGGGGGGGTCTGTGGAAAGGAGACACAGGGAAGACAGATGAAATCTGAATAAGCGATGGTCTTTAACCCTAGCACTCACCCCAGCACCCACCCCCACATCCACCTCTGCACCGACTCCAGCACCCACCCGAGCACATACAGGGTGCAGTTTAATCACACTGGTCAACAGTGGTTCATAAGTTCCAGGAAATGAGCCATGCTAATGTCAGGTGAAACCAATAGGTCAACCTGGATGCAGGGTAGATGGAAACTCTCTGTGCTATCCAAAACTATTTTAAAAATAAAGTCTTGTTTTCTTTTTTGAAAAGACTTTTTCATGTGTATGTGTGTGAGCTGCATGAGTTCATGTGCACCACGTGAGTGCAGGAGCCTGCAGAGGCCAGAAGAGGGCGCTGGGTATCCTGGAATGGGAGTTTTAAGCAGTTGTGAGCTGCTATATTGGTGCTGGGAACTGAACCCAGGCCCTCTGCAAGAGCAGTAAGCACTCAGCCACCCAGTCTTCTCTCCCATCCCAGATAAAATCTTTTCTTAAAGTGCTATTTCTTTCAGCTAAGAATGAATTCACAGGAGCTGGTAACTTGGGGAGTGCCATTAGGAGCGCCAGCCATTGCTGCATTTCCACTGGCCCATTGCCCTGGCAGTAAGGAAACCCAGCCAGGAACTATCAGCCTCATCTTTGACATCTACACAAGTATCGGAATGAAGGCCAGGTAAGCCTGAGCGGTGCTCTCTCCCCTCCATCTGACATACAACATACAAACTCAATAGGCCTTTGCCAACCATCCCTCATCCCTCCTTATCCTTCATCCCTCCAGCATGAACTCCTCCCCAGCCATAGTATGGTCTTCTGTTCCTCCTTCTCCCCAGTCCCCAGTTGCTGAGAAAGGAGAGTAGAGGTGACCAGATTGAAGGTGGAGGATAGTCTAACATGAAGACAACTTGAGCCAGTCAGTCCCAAACAAACAAGCACATGACCGATCTCCCATGATCTGGACCTTCCAGGACTCTGGGGTCCAGGACAGAAACTACCCATTCAAAACCACAACCTTAGCATTTCAGGGAATGTCTGTCCTTCCCACCAGCACCTACATTTTGAAATCAATCCATAGGAATAACATAACTCCATCCTGGGAGTTGAAAGTCTCGCTGTGTTGCTACAGACACTGGTACACGTCAACAGGGCCTGTTGGACTTGCCCATACAGTCTCCTCACGCTATGCCATAAGCGTCTATGTAAACATAGAGATGTCGTCTCCATGATCTCTGATTCCACTGCCCTACTACATCACAGACACTTTACAACACAATAGAGACTCTCCAGGAGCAAGGTCACTGTGACTTCAGCCGTCTACCCCACAACCCTCTGACCATAATAACCCTGCTAGACAAACGCCAGTCAAAATGCCATCTGCGGTCCTGCCCCAGTCGAGAACTTACAAAGATGGACTGAGAGTAAGCTCCAATGTAAAGATTTGACTCTGTTGCAAATTCAAATGCATGATCAGCAGAATCATACACAGCAAATGTGTAGACCAGACCAGGTATCTAAGAATTCAAATCTGGCTGGACGTGGTGGCACACATCTTTACTCCCAGCACTTAGAAGGCAGAGGCAGGTGGATCTCTGGGAGTTCAAGGCCAGTCTGGTCTACAAGGTGATTTCTAGGACAGCTAGAGTTACACAGAGAAACCCTGTTTCAAAAGCTCAGGAGAGCAGGACTGGGGCTCAAGTGAGTAGGTATTGATGCCACTGAAACCCCTCCCACTCTCAGGAGTTCTTTCTGGATTTTTCCTAATAACTATGTTTGATTTATTTATAAATCAGCCAGTCAATCAATTAATCACAGGGCTAGAGACAGTTTTGTCACAACCCAGAATCAAAATCACTCACAGTGTGACTGGAAAGATGGTTCCGAAGTTAAGAGCACTGGCTGCGTTTCCAGAGGACCCACGTTCAATTTCCAGCACATACATGGCAGCTCACGTCTGTCTGTAACTACTATTCCAGGGGATCTGGGGCCCTTTTCTGGTACTTTTGATCTACCCACAGCACCCACACAAACTCAGTGTGCCTCCACGTGTGCTTGTAACTCAAGCACTGTGAGACTGGAGGAGACCAGAGTGTGACTAGGGATTGCTGGCCACCAGCCTAGCTCTCGGTTCAGTGAGAGATTCTGTCTCCATAAGGGGGAGAGTGATATAATATAGCAGGGCACCTCATACCAACTGACCTCTGGCTCAAGTGTATACCAGCACACAGGCGCATGTGTATGCATGCATGGGCATACACACACACACACACACACACACACACACACACGGGCACATATAGCACACACGTGCAAGCATGCACACACATACACGTACACATACATAACACACACACAAATAGATAACAAAAGAATTCACATAAGAAGTGATATGTAGCAGAATCTGCCTGTTCAGAATGCACAGTAAGACCACGGCTTGGTCAATGTAAACTGAGAACCTGTGTTATACTGGTCAACCTTAAGAGGGTGTTTCTTGCTTCCCTGTTACCCAGTCATGGAGAAAAACAGTCCTCTCCAAGACAAACTTCAAAGTCCTGGCTTCCAGCACCCCCGCTCTGGTCTCATGCCCTCCTGGCTCTCCAGCTAGAACCGCCACGTACAGCCACACCATTAGTCTCTCCCTGGAAAAAGTCCACTTCTATTTCAGGCTGCCAAGCAGCGCTGGGTCCTGGAAGACGGGAGACATTTCTTCCTGAAACTGTGGAAACAAATCCATCTTCAAGGAAGACCTCATCCCTGCAAGGAGAGTGTGCCAAAAGCCCCACGTCACTGTTCAGTCAGGAAGTCTGGCTGCTCGGGGTCCCTGCAACCCAGAAAAGCCCATACATCTCCACAATGACCTCAAAACTTCCCCCAAAGTGTCTCCTCTGTGCCTGCAGCTTTTGGAATTTCCACAATTTGGGAAAGAACAGCTTTATTAGAAGTAAATTATCTGCCTGATATGGAGTTGACCATCCATGCCTTATTTTGGGGAAATAATGTCTAGTTTCGCTCTCTTGTTAACTTAATTCCTCGGGTAGCGGAGTTAACCTGGCAATATATAGAATGTCTGTTTATGTTCACATTATTTTGAGCTTCTAATCTTCCAGGGGCTGAAAATTTGAGCTATGCCTTGCAGTTTCAATGCTCCTATTGTAACAGCAGATGTACTCCCAACCCACTCACCATTTGTTTGTGGGGTGGTATTTCATTTGGCACTTGCCGTGGGTAAACCGATGGTGTTTAAGTCACTTTCGACATATGTAAAAATGTGTTTACACTTACGGGGCACTATTTTATAAAGCAAATGTTTGTATACAAACTCCGCAACATTTGCCTTTTGTTGAGCTACAGACAATTGCAGCCGTGTTCCGTTTCCCAGCTGAAAATGGGGAGGACGAAAGGCCTGGAGCTTTGCGTGTGCTTAGGTCACAATTTCTTAAACCTGCCCATTCACAAAAACTTCAATGTGTCTCTCCTGGAGCAGCCAGCACTGAGAAACCAATGACAAGACCAGGAGTTTAAGGCCCAGCCTTGTCACAGCCTCGAGGCTTCCTAAATTTCCCCACCTGTAGAATGAGAAAGGCCATAAAAATAGAGTATAAGGGTCTTCATGCTCCTAATCCCTTCTGTGACCCTGTGACCTGCTCTCTAGGATCGGGGTAACTGTCTGTGTCCTGGAGCACATGCGTGAAAAGTCACATGAGCCTCATTGTGTGTGTGTGTGTGTGTGTGTGTGTGTGTGTGTGTGTGCTGGGAGGAGGGGAGGCCCCAGAACAATGTCCTGCCTCCAAACCTCCTCAATAGGCGGAAACTACTGGCTTCCTCCCTTTCCTGTCTCCGGTGCTCCAGCAAAACAGATGGAAAGGACAGAGGGGATGGGAGAAACCAGTTCAATCATCCCCAGGTCTGTCCTTGTCATAACACACACACATACACACACACACACACACCTCAAGTGGCCCCCTTCCAGGAACTTCCCAGACACACCCATCCCCAGGCTGTGGGGGCTGGGCTTGGGAGGACGATAGGGTGGGAAGCAGAATGAGGCTTTCACCCCTCACCCCTCCCACCCCAGCCATCATTTCCTCTTCCTCCCCAGCACCAAAGCACACTAAGCCTAACAGGCTGGGCACTCAGACCGACAGCAACTGACCCCAGGCCCAGCTGGCCTTGGCTGGCCCGGATCAGCCTCCGGAGTATGGTCTGGTGGGGGTCCCCTTTCCTACTCCCCGTTCTCTTCTTGGCCTCTCATGTTGGTAAGTCTGCCCTGGGTGCCTCCCCAATCCCTGATTTCCAGGTCTTAATCCCAGCCCTCCCCTAGAAACCCTAACAGCATAGCAATGAACCTCACAATAGGGTGGCTGCCATGGGTTGGCGGAGGGGAAGCAAAGTTGTTGTTTAATGGTTGTAGCATTTCAGTTTGACGAGATGAAAGAAGTTATGGAGTTGGGTGTGGTGGTGTGCTCCTTTAATCCCAGACCTTGAGAGGCCAGGCTGGATTACATAGTGAAGTCCGTGTCAGTCACATAGTGAGACCCTGTCAAAAACGAAAACAAAAGGAGCTGTGGAAATGGGTGGTGATGTTTACACAATAATATGGGTGTATTTAGTAACACTGAATTCAATATTTACAAATTGTTCTGAGGGTAAATCCTAGGGTATATGTATTTTAACACAGTTTAAAAATAGGAGGGAAAAATAGACACTCTGTCATCCTCCTCATCACTAACATCATCATGATTCTGATCCATCAAAAAATGAGATCAGAGTGGGGAAAACTCAGGCAGGTGCTAGAAACCACTGCCTGTGCATGGGGGAGGGCAGAAGACCGCCATTGTTTGGGACCTTGGAAGTAACCCTTAGTCCATAATTCATTGACAAGCTGGGCACGGTGGCTTCAGTCACAACACTCAGGAGTCGGAGGCAGGTGGGTCTCTGTGGGTCTGAGGACACCTGGTCCACAGAGTGAGACCCGTCTCAAAATAAATAATGATAATAATAGTAATGATGATGATGATGATGATGATAATAATAATAATAATAATAATAATAATAATAATAATAAATCAAATGTGGCATTCTATCAGCAGAGTCTCTGGAGACTCCTAAACCTGCTCAGTAGAAATTAAATGATGCTGGCCTCCCGGTGGATATGTTTGCTGTTTAAATGGAGTTGTGTGCAGAAGGCTTGGAGGAGGTTTCTGAAAATGGGTACCCTTTCAGTCTGCTGATTAGAGGACTAGAAGCCAGAAGCTGCCTTGGAGTGATTCAGTCTAGTGGAGAGCACAGACCAGGGGCAAGGGCCTAACGAAGACAGACATAGAGAACTTGAGGACCATTGACAAGAGAGAGCCTGCTTGCTCTGCCTCCTGTAGTAGGCCGAGAAAACAGGAAGGATTTCTTTAAGAGGGGTAGCTGGCGGAAGAGTAAGTGCAAGCTTGGGAGGCATGGAAGTGCATGGGAAAGACGGCTCTGGAGGGAAAGCAACTGGGGGGCTAGTGTGTGCCACACAGATGCTCAGATTGTATGCATTACCCTGAAGGTACCTGGGAATCATGGGGCATTGTAGGCAAATGAGTCACAGGGTGTTTTTGAGTCTTGGTAGCATCACTTTGGAGAAGGAGCTGGAAAGGAAATTGTGGCTTCTGAAATGGTCCAAGTCAGTAAAGACAAGGGCTGAACCACGGTGGTGCGGAAGACAGGGATGGCCAACAAGGTTTAGGAGAAAAGCTCTAAAAGTATGCACCATGGGGGCTGGAGAGATGGCTCAGCGGTTAAGAGCATTGCCTGCTCTTCCAAAGGTCCTGAGTTCAATTACCAGCAACCACATGGTGGCTCACAACCATCTGTAATGAGATCTGATGCCCACTTCTGGCCTGCAGACATACAGACAGAATATTGTATACATAATAAATAAATAAATATTTTTTTAAAAAAAAAAAAAGAGTATGTGCCAGATTGGGGGTTAAGCAACGAGGAGTTGAGACTTGGATAACCTGACTCTGCTGGTTTCTAACTGTATGACCTTGGGCAAGTCTTAAGCTTTTGTTTCCTGGTCATAAAATGAGAATAATAACACCCACCTCCCAGAACAGCCAGACCAGAAAGGAAGAGGATATCACTAAAGAGCCCGATGCATAATTGACATCCAATAAACATTAATTATTATGACACTGGGAAGGAGATGACTCTGAAGTCAGTGTCTCAGGTAATGGGCGTTGCCTCTGAGTCAGGGAACTTGGGAAAGACGAGGTCTTGGGAAACACGACTGGAAATGCATTTGGAGCTGAAAGGCCACACCAGAGCTCCTGACTCAGAGGTGACAGTTAAAGCCATGGGTGTAGACGAACACGCTCAAGGAAGCCTGAGAATAATTACTACAGCAAGGAAACCAACTTCACTGGAGGCCGTGAGGATGCCACGGAGAAAGGGCATTTGGTACCTGCGAGGCCACCAGTAAATGCCGACTTCTTTTGCTAACAATAGACCGCCAAAGATATGCTGAACGGCATTTAAATTGATTGATGACTTGACAGTTAACAGGCAGGAAAGGGACAGGGAATGAGGGGTCTTGAGAGGGCTGGGGTCCTGGATCTGAGGCAGGCTAATTAGTTAGGCTCATCTCCTTGGTCTTGCTCACAGTGAGATGCAAATTCTGCGATCCAGTTCCACTGGCCCTGGGCAGCCGGCTCCCCACAAGACTCCTTTCTCATTTCATGCTTTACTCAGGCTGTTTGCCCCGCAAGATGAGCCTCTCCCCATCCCTGACCTTTCTCCTCCTGTTCCTCCTCATCCATGTACCCTGCCTTAGTTTTTCTTTTTTTTTTTTAATATTTATTTATTTAGTATACAGTGTTAGTTTCCATGTCTGCCTACAGGACAGAATAGGGCACCAGATCTCATTATAGATGGCTGTGAGCCACCATGTGGTTGCTGGGAATTGAACTCAGGACCTCTGGAAGAACAGTCAGTGTTCTTAACCTCTGAGCCATCTCTCCAGCCCCCCTGCCTTAGTTTTTCAAAAGCCCTTCTGATGAAGACCGGCTCCACATCCCCTCCTTGTCGTCTCCCCTCCCCTCCCCCACGCGGGTTAGGTGATCCTCCCGCTGCCCCAACACCTGCAACTGGGAGGGATATCTATGTCTGGTCCTCCAGCTTTTCCAAAGTGGGACCCAGTCCCACCTGCGTCCGTGTCCCTCTGGGCCAGGTGGGGCTAGCACCTTCATTTCTACCCCTAGCCTATACCTTCGATCCCAGTCAATCAGAAAGCTCTCAATTGTTTAAGCGACAAGGAGGGTGTCTGCATGACTCTCCAGTTTGAGTGAGTCCTCTAACCTGCACCTCCGTGGTAGGTCAGGGACAAGTGGCTTAGGGATAGCGTGGTGGAGACAGTTCAGAAAGGAGCCAGGGCAGGGACTTGACGGGGACAAAGGAAAGGAGACTGTGAAAGCTCTGCTGTCGAGGGCCCCATCTGTCTGGGGTCCCAGAAGGATGTGCACCTTTGTTTATGTTTTAGGATGGAGAGCCGTGAGGGCAAAGGGCGAGCATGTGTGGAAGGGAAGGGAACGGGTGGAAATCCTTAATGAAGTGAGGTTTTCAGAGGGCACAGTGAAACATTAACACCAGGGTTACGGGTGGAGCTGCGGGCTTCCGGGGCTGTTGAGTTGGCAGAGTCTACCATCCAGTCGCTGTTGTCCCGTCCCAGGTGCAGCTGTGGACTTGACTCTGCTGGCCAACCTGCGCATCACGGACCCCCAGCATTTCTTCCTGACTTGCGTGTCTGGTGAGGCCGGGGCAGGGAGGGGCTCAGACGCCTGGGGCCCACCCCTGCTGCTGGAGAAGGATGACCGCATCGTGCGCACCTTCCCACCTGGGCAGCCCCTGCACTTGGCACGCAATGGCTCACACAAGGTCACGCTGCATGGCTTCTCCAAGCCCTCGGATTTGGTAGGCGTCTTCTCCTGCGTGGGTGGCGCTAGCACGCGGCGTACTCGAGTCCTCTATGTGCACAACAGCCCGGGGGGTGAGTCTGGCTTGCCAGGAGGTGGAGTGGCAGAGGGAGGGGCCGCTGTCCTGGATCGCTGACCTTACCTTTCATCCACAGCCCACCTGTTTCCAGACAAGGTCACACACACGGTGAACAAAGGTGACACAGCTGTGCTTTCTGCACGTGTGCACAAGGCAAAGCAGACGGATGTGATATGGAAAAACAATGGTGAGGGGCATTTGGTTGTACAGGTAGAGCCATGGTTGTGACGCCCCGGACCTCTATTGCCCTCCATATACCCAGGTCATCACTGTGATAGACCTGTCGTTCTCCAGGCCAGCCTCCAGAGTCCTCCCATTCTCTTAGTAGAGGGCCAGGAGCCTGTGGCCAGCTACCTCTTAAACCCTATGTTAAGCCCTCATCTTTGACTCTCCCCTGGGAGTTAGCAGGTACTGTCACATGACCCGCCTAAGAAGAGCAGCAGTCCCCATGGAAAAGAAGACAGCTGAGAACAAGTGCCCAGCACGGGCCAAAGGAAGTCTAACCTCTCTCAAAGAAGTGCCAAGTCCAGATCCTTGATGCCCAAGGCAGGCATGTGCTGGAGTCCACATAGATATGTGGGTCTCAGCTCTGTTCCTGCCCACTATGCTGTCCCTATCCTCTCCATGGAAGGATTCTCCCCCCCCACTCCACCCCCCACACCCGCTCCCTGAGTAGCTCCCAAAATGCCTGCCTCAGCCCCCTGATCTGCTGACTGACTCTTGGGTACTTGGCTCCTCAGGGAGAAGATCCTTTTCCTTGGAGGGAAGGCTTTGCACCAACAGGGAATGTAGAAGTGGGCAGGAGACCCAAGTCTTTGCAGTCTGATTAGAGTTCTGAGCAGCAAGAGGGAGCCAGGCAGGGCTAGAACTCTTGTCTAACAGTATGGGTCCCAGATGAAGAGGCTGGGAGAGAGCCCTGAAAGGCAAGAGAGACATTCTTGGAGGCAGGGCTGACAAGAGCAAAGGCAAGGAGGTCTGAAATACCAGATGATTCTAGAAGGCAAACAAGCATTTAGGAATTCAAGAAGGTAAGGGGTCAGGCAGGGCGTGATGAGGTATGGAGCTGGAAGGCTGAGCAGACTGGTGGAAGGAACTGCAAAGGGTGGGGGTTCAGCCTGGTGCGATGGACAGCTCCGAGAGCCTACAAGAGGAGTAGGGGACAGAAGTGTCTATTATAAACACATCTCATTGGCAGTCGAGGGGGAGGGCACAAAGGGCCAGCATGGAAGTAGAGAGAGCCTAGAAAAGGCATGAGAAAATGGCCAAATTGTAAAATAAAGAGGTGGGAGAGGGAGGACTCAGAAAGCCTGAAGAGGATTTTCTCCTGCTTCCTGGCTTGGATACCATATCTGGTGCGCGCCTTTCCCCAAGTCGGATCAATGTGCACAAGCCGCATTGGTGTGACCAGGACAGAGAGAGGTAACACCAGCCCCTCATGTGATGCTGAGGGCCCTGACCTGATTGTGTGTCGTCCCCCCAGGATCCTACTTCCATACCCTAGATTGGCACGAGGCCCATGATGGGCGGTTTCAACTGCAGCTCCAAAACGTGCAGCCACCATCCAGTGGCATCTACAGTGCCACCTACCTAGAAGCCAGCCCCCTGGGCAGTGCCTTCTTTCGGCTCATCGTGCGGGGTGAGGAGCAGAAGACAGAGGCCGGGTGGTATGGGGGGGCTGTTAGTCTCAGGATCCACGAGGGCCGCAGAGCTACCCTTAGTCCTCAGCAGCTGTGGACAGATAGGTGAAGGTCACCTACTGAAAACATTTTCCGCCAGGCTGTGGGGCTGGACGCTGGGGGCCAGGGTGTGGCAAGGATTGCCCAGGCTGCCTGCACGGAGGTGTCTGTCATGACCATGATGGCGAATGTGTGTGCCCCCCGGGATTCACTGGTACCCGCTGTGAGCAGGGTAAGTAGGAGAGCTAGGAGCTAGGCAGAAGAGGTTGTCTGACAGGGGAACGATTCTGAAACCATGGGGATGAAGCTCGGGTATGAGGCCCTACGGGGTCTGTATACTCTGTATACAGATACTACACACTTTATTTTCAGCCTGCAGAGAGGGTCGTTTTGGGCAGAGCTGCCAGGAACAGTGCCCAGGCACAGCAGGCTGCCGGGGTCTCACCTTCTGCCTCCCAGATCCCTATGGCTGTTCTTGTGGATCCGGCTGGAGGGGAAACCAGTGCCAGGAAGGTATGGACTAAGCTGCCTCCTATGGGCTTAAGTGTGCCAGCCCCTTCACTATGGCCCTGACCTAAACAGAAGCCCTCTAATGCCCTACCAGGGCCCCACCACACCAGCCTACTGGAGAGCTTGTGCCTCATCTGTACCCTGCTGGCCCTGAGCTACCCATTTTAGCTATACCTCCTCTATTCCTAGCTTGTGCCCCTGGTCATTTTGGGGCTGATTGCCGCCTCCAGTGCCAGTGTCAAAATGGTGGCACTTGTGACCGGTTCAGCGGCTGTGTCTGCCCCTCTGGATGGCATGGAGTACATTGTGAGAAGTCAGGTATGTGCCTCTGAACCCCTCAAGACAGGTGATCCTTCATCAAACGCATCTCTCTGCTCTTTCGTTGGCGGTGCCCAAGTCCTCCCCTCAGGGAGTTCACCCCTGTGGTAGGTAGTTCACCATCAGACACCCACATTGTGAAGGCTGGCAGCCTTGGGGGTGGGGGTGGGCACAGGATCTAGAAGAGACCCTGGTCCATGTGAGAGTCTTTGGGGGAGGAGTCAAGATCTGCAATTGAATATGCAAGACACAGGGAGATGTTTGGGGAAGAATGAGGAGAAAAGTCCAGGGAGTTGAGACCCTGCTGTGGACTGGGCCAACGAAGCTGGGGGCTAGGAGGCATGTTCAGGTCAAGTGATGGGGCCTTTGAATAGAAGCCAACGGTTGCTACTTAATGTGAGGACCTGAATAGCAATTGTTGAAGGGTGTGTAATAGTCAGACTTGTGTTTGAGGAAGAACCGCTCATTGTGGGTGGAGTCCAGGAGTCGAGGACCAGAAATGAAGGAGTTGGCAGGTCTAAATGCCTATTATCTTAGCACTCAGGAGGCTGAGACAAGAGAATTGCCTGGAGTTCAAGACCAGCCTATGCTACAAAGCAAGTTTCAGGCCTGCCTAGGCTATAGCATAGAAAGAGAAAGGAAGGATGGAGGGGGGACGGGGAGAGAGAAAGGGAGGGAGAGAGAGAGAGAGAGAGAGAGAGAGAGAGAGAGAGAGAGAGAGAGAGAGAGAGAGAGAGAGAGAGAGAGAGAATTCAGCCTGAATTTGAGCTGGGCTGGTGACAAGGGGCCTGCTTCTGTCTTAGAAGATCCTAGGAAATGTGATGGGAAAAATGGGGAAGGTGAACCCTACATCTGGCTGGATGTGGGGCACCAGGGCCTGAAGGAACCATGCAGGACCTTGCTGGTTTTAGTTTTAAGTGGCAGGGCAGACAGTGGGATCCTCTCTGAGATGCAGAGTATAGGACTTTGGTGGTCACTTGGCTGCCTCAGGATTGTTCAGGATGGCTGTCCCCCCCCTCTCTCTCTCCCTCTCTCTCTCTGTCTCTCTCTAGACCGGATCCCCCAGATCCTCAATGTGGCCACTGAACTGGAGTTCAACTTAGGGACAATGCCTCGGATCAACTGTGCAGCTGCGGGGAATCCCTTCCCAGTACGGGGCAGCATGGAGCTCCGCAAACCAGATGGCACCATGCTCCTGGTCAGCCCCAGTCACCCCACCTACCATCAGCTACCCCGTCTCACCAGCTTGACAGTTCATTCTTTGGGCCCTTAACCCCCTCGGAACTTGTAGGCTCAGCCCACCGGCCAGGCCATGGCTTAAATGGGGCAGGCTAACCGGTGAGGGGAAGTCCCTGGGTCTATGTTCCAGCAATAGTCAATGCTGACTCCTATCTGTCTCGTAGAACATACATTCTCTACTCATAGGCTCTCTCTCTCGTCTCTCTTAGTCTACCAAGGCAATTGTGGAGCCAGACAGAACCACAGCTGAGTTTGAGGTGCCCCGTTTGACTCTTGGGGACAGCGGATTCTGGGAATGCCGCGTATCCACGTCCGGAGGCCAAGATAGCCGGCGCTTCAAGGTCAACGTGAAAGGTTAGTGGTGTTCTAAGGCTCCAGAGGATGAATGGTGCTCAGTATCAAGGCTGGAACCCAGCCTGGTCCCACCAGGTCCCACCTGGAAAAGCCTTCAGGAACTGGGGGTATCCTCCAGCCTCACCCTGTCTCCTGCATATACATGTGCCGTCTGCCACTGCACCCAGGGTCCCTTTAACTCCACCTCTGAAGTGCTGTTCCTTTACCTGAGTCACCTCACAGGGACACATGAGGACAGCAGACAGGCAAACCTGCTTGCCTCCTCAAAAGGGATTCATGCACAGGAGTCTGTTGGGTGAATAAGGAGAGAATGACCGAGCGCTCACAGCAAAGCACAGAGCACCCTCTCCATGGACTAGGAATTTTTTTCGTTTCATCACTATAAGCCTTGCAGCCCAGTACCCCAGGCCCTGTTCTCCTTCTGCCCCCCATTGTCTGTTTTCATCTCTTTTCTCTCCTCTTGTTCCCGCTCCTCATTTTCTTCTTCTTCCCAATCCCTCACCATCTCCATCCTACTACCCCATCCACCAGACCCCACTTTTCTCTTCTCATTCTTTTACCAGATCCAGGCTCCAGGCCTCCACTCGACTTGGATTCCAAGCCACTCTCTAGCACCTTAAGCAAGTTACAGCCCCTCTGCTGTGTAACAGTGTTGAAACAGGAGAGGCAGGGCTGCGTTGCGTCCCCAGCACCCGGCCGCCCACATGGCTAGCTTATGCCCGAAATAATTACATGGAAACTGTATTCTTTCAAACACTGCCTGGCCCGGCTAGGTCCAGTTTCTTATTGGCTAGCTCTTACATATTGTTCTAACCCATTTCTAATATTCTGTGTAGCCCATGAGCTGGCTTACCAGAGAGGATCTTAACCTGCGTCTGTCTGGAGTGGGAGCATCATGGCGACTCACTCACTCAGCTTCTTTTTCCCAGAATTCTCTTCTGTCTACTTCGCCTACCTAATTTTCTGTCCTATGAGGGCCGAGGCAGTTTCTTTATTATTAAGAAATCACTCCCACATCATAACAGGGTCTTGGCTGCTTGGGAAGACTAAACCAGACAATGCATTTAAGTAGTTAGCACAGTGGTTGGCAGAAGGTACCCTCGAGATAAAGGACAAATGCTGTTATCTAAAATGGCATCTGGTGCCAAGGTGCCAACCCTTCTCTGGTAGTACCACTGTGTTCTGCAGTCAGGACCCCTCTCCTGATGCCAGCCCTGCATGGTGGACCTCCACGAGATGGGGCATCTTCTGCGAAGTTCTGATCCCAAAGCCAATGTGGAAGTTCATATGTGTGTGATTCAGGGGTCCACTGTATACCAGCCACTTAGTGTGTGTGATTCAGGGGTCCACTATATACCAGTCACTTAGCCTGAACTCTGATCTCCTGCCACAGGCACCAGGGACGCCTTAGGATCCAAACTGAACACTCATTTCCCCCAGACCTGTACCTGCCCCTGACAAACTGTTGCCCCCTGACACTCCTTCACCTCACCATCCTGCATCTTCCACACTCCTCAGCCTCCCTCCTTTACTCCTTCCTCCCTCTCCCTCTCCTTTCTTTGCTTTATGCTTTCCGGGAAAGCCAGTCTGAAAGAAGTCAAGGAACCTATTTGGGCATTAATGCAATAATCTAGAGAGAAAAACTGAAGCCAGAATCGGGGCAGCAGCTGGGGAGGAAACCAGACAGAAACACAAATACTATTTTAGGGTAGAACTGATTGACTTGAGGCAGCCTGATCAGACAGAGCGAGCTCCAGGTCTCCTAGCTGTATGTCCTTAGGCAAGTTGTATAATATCTCTGAGTCTCGGTTTCTTCAGTCATGACCCGAGGGCTGCGGGAATGATCAGTTATACACAAGCGCCAAGTATGGAGCAGGTGCCACATCGCTGGCATGTTTTGTCTTTAAAATAAATCAACAGACTAGTGGATGATGAAGGGAGGGAAGAGAGCATGTGACACCGTGACACCTAGGTGGTCCCCGCCTTGCCTCCCAGCCTCTCTCTGCCCACTGTTGCAAGGACAGAGAGCTGTTTCCCAACCTCTACCTGGCCACTCACACTCTCACCTAACATCTTCTGAGACTCCTATGGCCTATGGTCAAGTCCCTATGGCCCAAGCGACCCAAAGACCAGGACTGCTTTCTCTGACCTTGGCCATCCCAGGCACATGGTGAACTTGGTCTCCTCCCACCAAACTAGATAATCTCCAGATCCCAGAGTGCTCCCTTCTTCCTGGACTCTGACTCCTCCCAGTTTTTTGGCAGTACCCCCAGTGCCTCTGACTGCTCCTCGGCTCCTGGCCAAGCAGAGCCGTCAGCTTGTGGTCTCTCCGTTGGTCTCCTTTGATGGGGATGGACCCATCTCCTCTGTCCGCCTGCACTATCGGCCTCAGGACAGCCTGATTGACTGGTCTGCTATCGTGGGTGAGTGGGGGCTGAGTTAGGGGGTAGAGTGATGTAATGGTGAGGGGATAGGGTGGAAAGAGAAAAGGAGGGAGGGGGATGATAAATAAAGAAGAGGAGGCTGAAGGGGAATGGCGGCTTCAAGACATGGTTGGGACCGAGCGATGTGTGTGGCACACCTCACCTGCAGTGGATCCCAGTGAGAATGTGACGTTAATGAACCTGAAGCCAAAGACAGGATACAGTGTTCGTGTGCAGCTGAGTCGGCCCGGGGAAGGAGGAGAGGGAGCCTGGGGGCCTCCTACCCTTATGACTACTGACTGTCCTGGTAAGAAGCCAAGAGTCTTCCCTTCCTATTCCCCCAGGGTTTACTGCCATGCCCACCCAGAATATGTCTGTCTTGGTCCACCCCCAAAGAATCCTGCCTGTCCCAGTAGAAGTTGTCCCAGCCCTACCCACTGGGGATTATTATCCCGTTTAGTCCCCAAGGACTCATTGGATGATTCTGACCTCTCCTGACCTCTGGCCACAGAGCCTTTGCTGCAGCCGTGGCTAGAAGGCTGGCATGTGGAGGGTCCTGACAGGCTACGAGTGAGCTGGTCCCTACCCTCGGTGCCACTGTTGGGTGATGGTTTCCTGCTACGCCTGTGGGACGGGGCCCGGGGACAGGAGAGGCGGGAGAACATCTCATCCCCCCAGGCCCGCACTGCCCTCCTGACTGGACTCACGCCTGGCACCCACTACCAGCTGGATGTGCGGCTTTATCACTGCACCCTCCTGGGCCCTGCCTCACCCCCTGCGCATGTGCTTCTGCCCCCGAGCGGTAGGCCCACTGTGGGAATGATGGGCTAGGGCTAAGGGAGGTTTCTGCGCAAGTGTTTCCGCCCCGGAGCGATAAGCCCACTGTGGGAATGGATAAGGGAGGTTACCGCTCATGTCTCTGCCCCCAACGGTAGGCCCGCTGTGGGAATGATGGGCTAGGGCTAAGGGAGGTTATAAGAGACTGGAGAGAACCCAGGATGCATGAGGAAGATAGACGATACCAGGAGGTCACCAGGAGCATGTGGGGTGGGAATGTGTGAAGAAATTATGACTCCTGTGAAGAGCAGGGCCATGTGGAGGGGGGTAGGAGGGTGAGGGGGACGCTAAGCGACTGAGGACATGGAGAGGATTTGGGATGCAGGGTGACCAAGGGAAGAAGCAGCTTGGAGGTAGAGGTGCCCTGGGGATAGCAGAATCAGTGAAAGGTGGCTCGTGGCTCCTGAGCTGGGATCCACAGAGAAGAAAATGTGCTAGAGCAATCGCGTCTGGCCCTACAGCTAGACAGCCTCGTCCAATCTATCCCTTCCTTCCCACTCTTACCTCCCCAGGGCCTCCAGCTCCCCGGAACCTCCGCGCCCAGGCCCTCTCAGACTCTGAGATCCAGCTGACCTGGCAGCATCCTGAGGCTCCATCTGGTCCTATATCTAAGTACATTGTGGAGATTCAGGTGGCCGGGGGCTCAGGAGACCCCAAGTGGATGGATGTAGACAGGCCTGAGGAGACAAGCACCATCGTCCGTGGCCTCAATGCCAGCACACGCTACCTCTTCCGGGTGCGGGCCAGTGTGCAGGGTCTCGGCGACTGGAGCAACACAGTAGAAGAGGCCACCCTGGGCAATGGTGAGAGAATGGGCCCTGCAGGACCCCTAGGCCTCAAGACTGTACTCTGCATGCGCCCCTCCACCTTCCCTCCAAGTTAGAGCTAAGGATCACAAGCCCTGACTTTCCGACCTCAGAAACTGTTCTCCTTAACTCTAGTCGTCCATGGCGCCTCCTCACAGCGTGGTACCAAGCTCTCAGACCTCTCCCCTCTGTGGGATCCCACAGTGGCCTCTGGGTCCCCTGACCCAATCTGTCCTTCATTGTGTCTAGGGCTACAGAGTGAGGGCCCAGCCCAAGAAAGCCGGGCGGCTGAAGAGGGCCTGGATAAGCAACTGGTCCTGGCTGTGGTGGGCTCCATCTCTGCCACGTGTCTCACCATCCTGGCTGCGCTTTTAGCCCTGGTGTGCATCCGGCGAAGCTGTCTCCATCGGAGACGCACCTTCACCTACCAGTCAGGATCGGTCAGTGTCCCGTGCCCACATGATACCGCCTGTTGTGTGTGTTTGTACCCATATACATGTAAGCGCATATGGGACTGCACACGCCTATTCATGCCACAAGTTTAAAGCTACATTCAGTGACCCTCTAGAGTACAAAATAGAACTTTCTTTATTTTTGTTTTGTTTTTCAAGACAGAGTTTCTCTGTGAAACAGTCTTGGCTGCCCTGGAACTCACTCTGTAGACCAGGCTGGCCTAAAACTCACTGAGACCACCTACCTCTGCCTCCCGAGTGCTGGGATTAAAAGTGTGCGGCACCAGCGCCCAGCCACCCCCACTTCTTTAGAACTGAACTCGGCTCATGAGCACATTCATATTAATGGTTGAATAATTAGCAGTCTCGGTTAAAAAGAAGACAGTTTGTCCATATTTCACCAGGTCTCATTCCAGGATTGGAAGCCACCATCTGGACTTGTCTTCTCTACTTACCCACCCTCTGAGGGTACTATCAGCCGGGATCACACAGCAATACCCTGGCCCACGCTGGCCTCCGTCCTTACTTGGGAGCCAGCCTGTATCTATACGCATATGTGGTTAGTGTCCTAAACCCTACTGACTGTGTGCGCTCATCCCAGCCTCCAGTCTTTTATCTTTCTGTTTCCTTTTTTGAGACAGGGTCTCTCTATGGAGACTCGGCTGGCCTCGAACTCACAGAGACGACCTGCCTCTGCCTCCTGAGTGCTGGGGCGAAAGGCGTGCGCCACTGTGCAAGCCCCAGGCTATATTCCTGGGAGCTCCAGGACCTCCTTTGAGAAACTGTTCACCCATGTTTACCCATACCCCTTGAAGGGCATCCGTGTGTGGCCATGCCCTCCACATAGCCAGCCTTTGACCCTCTAGAAGTGTGCATGGCCTGCAGCCTCACCTGCCCTCCTGGAGGAGAGAGGCTCACTCTTCAAACTCGTGTGGGACTTTAGTCCTCTTACAGCCAGGCCATGTCCTCTGGCCTTCGGGCCTACACAGACATGGATGGGGAAGGGCCGCTGACATCTCCACCCTATCTTGTCATGTCCACCCCCTGGCTTTCCCAGCTCTTCTGAGAACGTCCCACTCTGTCACTCAGAGTCAGAACTCTAGCCTTGGCCCGTTCTCGGTGCTTGCTATTTAGAGTCATTTAAAAGAAATTCAGAGTTACCAAAAATGGCAGAAAGAAAAGAGAGGGAGAAATCTCTCTCTCTCTCTCTCTCTCTCTCTCTCTCTCTCTCTCTCTCTCTCTGTCCCTCGGGCCAGCTCTTGTATAGAAAGTCCAGTGTTCAACTCTGGTGTCTGCTGTGCCTTTAAAAATCCCACTGAGAGTCCAGAGAGTCAACTGGCCTCCTTGTCTGAGCTGTGTTGACTTTGCCTCTGAGGCCAGTGCACACAGGAAGTCATCACTGCCATGGGAGGCGGGGAGAAGGAAGCAGGGACAGGTGCTGAGGCAGGGCAGTGAGAACGCAACCTTTAGTGGCCATACGATCATTACACATGTCAATATAGTTGTCTGTTCTGTGTGCCTGCACACAGATGCTCATGTTCATGTTTGTGCCATATAGTGGTGCAGACGTGCATCCCATGTATGTGTGCCTGCGTCCCTGTGCTGGCACACCTTCAGGCCCTCGGGTGCATGTGTATCTCTGAATGGACGGATGCACCTGCATGTGACGCAGCCACAGAATGTGCATGTTTATTCTGATGTATGCCTCCGCTGCACACGCTTCATATGAGTCCATGTAACCTGTGTCCCCAGCACTTACCCGTCAAACTGGGTACCCGCTCACTTAGGAAAGCCACTGCTTGGTCCATCTGGACCTTGCTTCAGGTTCTCATGCAACTCTTTACTCCTGTTCAGCTGCTGCCTTTTCCTGCCATCAACCCTGCCCAGCATAGTCCTGCTTCATAGAGGAAGCTGGGCAGTCCCTTCTGTTACAGTCCTTGAGTCTTCGCCTGGGCTTAGAGCTGTGTCTAGACACCAAGTCGAGGGACAAAGATCATCTCTGCTCCTTCTGCTGTGAAGAAGAAAACCTGTCCACCTGCTCCCCGCTGCTCAGGGCTTAGCACATAATAAACCCTCAAGAAATGCACCCGTGGAGGCACAAGTAAATGAAAAACTAAAGCCTCGTTGTAGGGTTTGCACAATAATGGGAAGCTTACCTTTTCCCATTACATCTCATTGCAATTTTCCACTGAAATATTAGAATGTTTTTGGTCCATTGACCTTTCCAGGATTTGGCAACTTACCCACAAGCCCTGAGTTCCACCTTGTAGCAAACCCCACACACTAGACCCTTAGGCTGATGCCACTGGATTTGTCTTCTTACACACCGGGAAACTCATCTGTGGCTCTGTCACCTGTAATTCTGTGCGCTGTCTGTCTCTGTAGGTGTGGCTCTGTCCATCTGTCTAATCACTGTGTACCTCTCTGGTCCTCCTTTTACCCCCACATCTCTTGTGTGGACTGGTGGTCTATTCATCCCATTCCATGAAGGGCGAGGAGACAATCCTGCAGTTCAGCTCAGGAACCTTGACATTGACCCGGCGGCCAAAGCCACAGCCTGAGCCCCTGAGCTATCCTGTGCTGGAGTGGGAGGACATCACCTTTGAGGACCTCATCGGGGAGGGGAACTTCGGCCAAGTCATCCGGGCCATGATCAAGAAGGACGGGCTCAAGATGAATGCAGCCATCAAGATGCTAAAAGGTCCTTGGATGTGACTCCAGACCCCAGCCTCTGTCTCTTCCTAAATCCCACGAACACCAGGCCTACCTAGCTCCCACTAGCATCTGACCCCCTCTCCGAGTTATCCATGGCAAAAGCTGACACTGATTTCTTTATGCAGAGTATGCTTCTGAAAATGACCATCGCGACTTTGCAGGCGAATTGGAAGTCCTGTGCAAACTGGGACACCACCCCAATATCATCAACCTCTTGGGAGCCTGTGAGAACCGAGGTGAGCCCCTAATTCATGACCTGCTCCTTCCAGACCTCTGTTATCGGCCATCACCGGTACCACATTAGTGGCTTGTGGGGATCCCTAGGTTCCCATTCACCACAGAATTTTCCTGCATCCTGCAGGCTGTCTCTTAAAATCGGGCACTGCTCATAACAACACATGGCCTGTATCTAAACCATCACCATGTGTCTCCTCACTTCCCAGGTTACTTGTATATTGCTATCGAATATGCCCCTTATGGAAACCTACTCGATTTCCTGAGAAAGAGCAGGGTCCTGGAGACTGATCCAGCATTTGCTCGAGAGCATGGAACAGCCTCCACCCTCAGCTCCCGGCAGCTGCTGCGCTTTGCCAGTGATGCAGCCAATGGCATGCAGTACCTGAGTGAGAAGCAGGTGTGTGCGAGTGCGGTGGGCAACAGTGGGAGGGGGGGAGGCTTCTGCACAAACCTGGCCAGATGGTCAAACAGCAGGCTCGAACAGTGAGGAGGAAGGACCCAGCGCCAGGTTCAGTGCCTGGTGCCAACTGACTGCCAAAGATACGCAGAGGGAGAAGAGGGCAGGAGGTAGATGGGGAGAAGGTGTTAGATTTGGAGTCCCTGAGAGACATCCTGGGTGGAGGTGATGACGGGGCGAAGTATGGATCCCAAACTCATACTCAAGAGACGGGCCTGGGCTGGAGACCGTGTAGCGCTGCCATTTCAGCACAGAGACTCCAGCAGGGAGGGCGTGGAAATCCACTGAAGAGGGTGAGGGGTGGGCTCCCAGATG